CACACACACACACACACACACACACACACACACACACACACACACACTGTTTGTTCCTTGCAGGTCAGTGAGGAGGTCGACGCAGCCGTTCGGGGGCATCCAGCTGATCGTTTGTGGCGACTTCCTTCAGCTGCCTCCTGTTTCTAAAGGAAAAGAAAAGGCCAGATTCTGCTTCCAGGTGGGCTCACTGTGACTCGTCTGCTGCATGTTCAAAAGAAACACAAAATCTTCAGTGTTTGTCTGCAGCTCCGATTCTTTCTGTACTTGGAAGTAAAGCAAAATGACAAAGGCTTATAAGGAGTGTACATGTGTTTTATTATTTATTTGTTTCCTTGGTGTCATGATGCATGTGCTGTTCGGTGTTCATGTTAGTCATTACAGCTCCGAATACATTTATTCATACAAGGCACGCTGTTCATGAGTCAGCACCTGCCTCCTTGTTGCTCGTTTCCCTCAAAGCATTCATGGACTTTGGTGGTGAATCCTATCCCTCTTTCAACCTTCAGGCCAGGAGTTGGAGAAAAGTCATCCAAGTCAACATGGAGCTAACGGAAGTGCGGAGGCAAACGGACCAGAACTTCATCTCCCTCCTGCAGGCAGTGAGAGTGGGCAGGTGACACGAGCTTTAACATATTCCAGAGTGTTCCTCTTCACACATCTTCAAAGATACAGTGGCTTCAGGACGTTTTCAGACCTTTCTCACTGTCTGAAGTTTTCCACTGCAGCCTGATTCTACCATCATTCAACTTCCTTTTGATTCGTATTCTACACTCAGTATCACAACATGACAAACGTGAAAACAATATATTTTAAAATTGGGAAATCTATTTAAAAAATTGAAATGTCACGTTTTCTTAATTATTTGAAGTTTTTCTTGGGGTTTCATTGAAACCGTTGGTTCCAGCCTCGGGTAGGTATAAGACTTACCTGTGCTGTGGGTGGAGCTTGATAAAACTAAAAGACTGACACCAAGAGCGTCTAGACTGGTGAAAAAATAAATCAGGATAGTGTTGTTGTACTCAAGACCGGTCTCAAGACCACTTGATCTTTTCCCTTAGTCTTGTCTCGGACTCGACCGTATTTGGTCTCGGTCTCAAACATTGAGGACTCGGGATTTTATTTCAAGACCAGTCAAGACCACAACTGTGGAAATATCACTAGACTGCCAGAATATTGTCCAGTTTATTTGTCAACATCTTTGTTTTTATTGGATGCAAAACGTACTGGTTCAAATCCAAGAGATAACGTGACTCATTGCTAAATACATGGTTTTGTTACTGCTGCCACGCCCACCCCCTTTCACTTGCACATGTCACTCACTCCAAGAAAATGAGAAGTGATTGTCTGGGCGCAGGAGAAGATGTCTGCCATATCATCCATCCATCTATCCATCCATTATCTTTACCCGTTTATTCCATTTTGGGTCGATGGTGCCCATGTCCAGCAATCACTGTGCGAGGGGCGGGGTACACCCTGGACGGGTCGCAAGTCCATCACAGGGCCACATAGAGACAAACGAGACAAACAACCATTCAGTCTCTCACTCACACCTAGGGACAATTTAGAGTTACCAATCAGCCTAACATGCATGTTTTTGGTCTGTGGGAGGAAACCGGAGTACCCGGAGAAAACCCACACATGCACGGGGAGAACATGCAAACTCCTCCCAGAAAGGCCCCTGGACCGGGGTTTGAACCAGGGACCTGCTCGCTGAGAGGCAGCAGCTCTACCAGTTGCGCCACCGTGCTGCCCCGTCTGCCATATCATCAATTATAAAATTTGGCTATTTAAATCACAAAGAATATACTAATAACTAATATCCATTTATGTAACTTTGAAAAATTATAAAAGCTGATACATTCATTCAAAAGCAAACTTAAAGTTACAGTATGTAACTTCTATAAAAATATTTTATAATACAATTTTATTTATTTTGTTTGAGGTCTTGGTCTCGACTTGGTCTCAGACCCTAAAAGTCTTGGTCTTGTCTCGGTACACTCTGGTCTTGGTCTCGGGTTAGGTGGTCTTGACTACAACACTGGATCAGGCAGTTCTTTGTTAGTTCATAATTTTCAATGAGTGCCTTCAAACTGAATAAGTTTATTTGATTTTGTTGGTTTGCTTTGTTTAAAGTTTAAAGTGCATTTCTGTTATTAAGGTGTCGACTAATTTCTGTTAAAACCTGAGCTCACACGAGAAGTCTAATCAGCTTGTTTCAGTGGTTTTACTGGCCAGATCAACAACTAGAAGTATTGTTTATAATTCTCAAAGTATAAAGGAAGAACTGAGTTCATGTTAACTTTTAGTCTAAATTACAGGGAGCTGCTGCAGAGTGTTTAAAGGGCCACATGTAACTCCAGAGCCACAGATTGCAGACCCCTGATGTACCCCATGGAGGTTGAGGGGGACAAAAGTATTTAAGTGATTATAGTGTCAGGCTGCAACATGATAAAACTGCAAAAGTACTGAGTCTGAAACTTTTCTGAAATCCTTGTAGCTTTGTCAAATCCAGAATAGAATTCAAAATCTTACTTCTAACCTACAAAGCTCTCAACAACCTAGCTCCATCTTATATTACAGAGCTTATTGTTCCATATTTTCCTAACAGAGTACTTTACTCTCAGACTGCAGGTTTACTCGTGGTTCCTAGAGTTTCCAAAAGCAGAATAGGAGGAAGATCTTTCAGTTATCAGGCTCCTCTCTTGTGGAACCAACTTCCAGTTTCTGTCTGTGAGGCTGACACATTGTCCAGTTTTAAAACTTTCCTTTTTGATAAATCCTAAAATTAGGGTTGGCTCGTCATGCTGCCTTAAGCTTAGGCTACTAGAGGACAAATTGACCTCATTTCCTTAAACGATTTGCTAAAATTAAATAGTTTTCATCTGATACTATTTCTATCTTAACATGTGATTCTTGACCTGCCATTGTGTATCTGTTCTTCCTTCCTGTTCCTCTCAAACCCAGCCGGTCAAAGCAGATGTCCTCTTGTCCTGATCCTGGTTCTGCTAAAGGTTTCTTCCTCATGAGGGAGTTGTTTCTTTCCACTGTTGCCTTCATGCTTGCTCAAGATGAGAGTTCTGTGATGGAGTTAAACTCAAAGCTCCTCAGATAAATAATATGAAATTATTATTTTTATTTATGAATGTTTCTGTTCAGTCCCTGAGACGACTCCTGCTGTGACTTGGTGCTAATAAACTGAACTGACTTGAATTGATGCACGCTAAGACATGTATTCATGTTAGCTGAGTATTGTTGCAGCACAAACAGCGTTTTCCTAACCGACATGTTTGTAACACGTGCAGGGTGACGGCGGAGGTCACAGACAAGCTGAAGGAAAGTGCGTCCCATCAGATAGAGAGGGACGGGATTCTGGCCACCAGGCTGTGCACACACAAGGACGACGTGGAGCTCACGAATGAGAACAAACTCGCGCAGCTTCCAGGTACGAACTCTACCTTCTGATTGGATATTTTTATTTTCTTAACCTTCCAAGCAGAAGCAGGTGTTACTTGGTGTTAGTGGTTGGCTGTTAGCAGAATGGTAACGTCATTAGAACTGCTCCCTCTCAGCAGGAGCTCACTTGGGTTCTGATCGTTGTTGTTTCCTGCTCTGCTGCACATTTATTTTGTAACAACGAACTGCGTCATAAGAAAAGAAAAAAAAATAACTAGGTGAAAGTGTTTTTTTTTTTTTTTCTTAATGGTAATTTGTTGGTTAAAAATGTAGAGATCAAACTAGAGACAGGAAACATTTTAATAGTGTGATTTCGTATGAAGCATTCACACTGTTGTGATCCATTTTTGGATCCTCTGTGTGGCTTGTTTGATTAATGAGACGATGATCCAACTCTGTTGTTGCCTCTCAGGGTCGATGCGGGTCTTTGAGGCTCTGGACAGTGACCCAGACCTGGTGAAGACCCTCGACAGTCACAGCCCAGTCAGCAGACTGATCCAACTCAAAGTGGGAGCTCAGGTGGGTTTTAATCAAACTGAGCTGCCATGAAATGATTTGCTTCAGACTTTTCTTGATTTCTGGTCTCACTTTGTTGAAGTCAAGTCATGAAGCATTTTGTATTTTAAAGGTCATGTTGACAAAAAACCTGGACGTTGGCCGAGGTCTGGTGAACGGAGCGCGGGGAGTTGTTGTAGCTTTTGAGTCTGGAACACACGGTGTGTATATTTCTTTTTATCATGCTGCTCCAAACACAACATGTTAGAAAAGTTCAAATTGAACAAACGTCTTTAATGTAAACAAGCATATGAAATTAAATTCAAGAATGGTTTGGCTGAAGATTACTCGTCAGTGATGTGCATGAATTTATTTAAAATCCTACTTTCTGTCTATTTAAAGCATAATTCATTCAAGCAACCTTTATTTATGCAGGTTATTGAACGAGGCCAGTTTAATGAATATAAACAGAACTGAGCTCTTTGGTGCTCAAAGGTTTTCATGTATTGATGTTTGGGACAAAATCCTCAGTTTGTTGTAGTCTAAATGAAAGAGGAAGTAACAAAGTCCATGCTCAATAATCCAGGTATACAATCCAACATTTTTTCAGTCAGGTCATCTGGACAGTTTCATCCCTGGAAAGAGTAAGTGTTGTATATTGTCATCAGTGTATGTTTCTATACAATGGTGAAATTTGTGCTCTGCATTTATCCCATCACACGTGAGATACACTCAAGAGTAGGGAGTTAAACCTGCAACTTTCTGGTCCCAAGTCGGCTGCCCTACCACGTCTGCCCCAGAAAATAATGTTTCCCTGTAAGAACAGGATCCAGTTCTCTGCTGCGAGGAGCTGCAGGCTGGCCACAGATGTTCATCACATCTGTATTCTCCTTTGAGGGCAGCCCTGCCTGACACGTCCTCCCCTCCTCACTATAAATCTCACCTCATGGTTAAAAGTGCAGACTTGTCTGCATGTCAGGAGCTCTTAGTTCCCACAAACAGGTAACATCAAAATATTTGAATTAAAGGCTTAGCATGACCTAAAACAATGCAGTCAGAAAACAGCCAGACCAACACCACATTTTAGCTCAGTATTTGTAAACTTCACTAGGTTATAGCCCTGGTTAGCTAGTGTTGATTAGCTGTGGCTGCCATCTTGCATTGGATTGACTCCAAAAATAGAGATTTGCATTTATCCTGATGCATGCTCAATAATCCAGGTTGAAAAATCTAAAAAACTTAAGTCTGGTCCTCTGGACATTCAAAAAAAACAAAAAGTAGAAACGTTTCGTCTCTCATCCGAGAGACTTCCTCAGTCTGAGGTGCTGTATTCAGCTCAGTCTTATAAATAGCACCTACTCATGGAGGATCAGCCAGTTTGTTGGTGACATCTAGAACTAACTGTTCACATGATAATGGAGGACCATCAGCCGAACGACTGGTCATTAGTGCTCTGATGGCCACTTGCTATTCACAGAGGGCTGAGTGATACTAACAATAACAGCTAGTTATTACTAGTGTTGCTTAATCATAGTGGTTACCATATTTTTCTAAAAGTCTGAACTGACCCCATTAGTCTATGACAAAGTTTTACCAACAGATTTCATGCTGTGAATAAGTTAGATGAAAATCAGTTACTACAGCATCAAATTTTGGTTCAAAAACTGTAAAATATACATAATTTAAGTTATTATTTTTTTGTCTAAGTTGTTTACAAAACACAAAAATGATGGCTGGGTGGTTTTAATAAACCAGATCATCAGAGCGTCTCTCCGTTGCATGTATCAGCAGTTAAACCGTCTTAATGTGCTTGTGTTGATCATCCTGAGGCGGTGGAGCCAGGGAGCGGGGTCAGACAGGTCATCAGTGCCTTCCAGGGCCACAGGAGAGAAAACAACCATGCATCCTCCTAATCTCTCCTAAGGTTAATTTATAATCACTAATGATCAAACATGCATGTTTTTGGATTTCTGGAAAAAAGTCCAGCACCTGGAGGAAACTTGTGTCCCCACAGAGAACATGCAAACTGAACAGGAAGACCCAGCTGAGATGCGAATCTGGGCCTGGCAGTGCAAACCACTGCGCCACCATGGAGCTCCATCACAAAACAGAACTGAAATAACAAATGAAAAAATCAACTTTTTAGGAAACTTAGAATTTACTATTTCTATCGAGGAGGGAAAAAATGAAGCAAAGCCACTTCAAAGTAAGACTTTCTGTTCAGGACCTAAAATGTGAGCATGTAATGGCAAAATCTTATCCACTCATTTCTCTTTTGATGTAAATTGTTCAGCTGATGAAGATATTTTTTGTTAATGAGAAAGCAAAAACAGTTTCAACTACTTGCCTCCAGAAAAACAAATTGCTGCTAAAGAATTGGAGGCTGAAATGTTACTGTAATTGGAGTCTTTTGTGAAATTACCCCACAGATCTGAAATGATCACTAAAATATTTTTGAATATTTGTAAGCTTTGTCTTTTTGTGCCTTTTTGAGTGAACGGATGAAATATTTCAGAAATATTCACAAATATTCCATATTTCAAGGTTCTGTGGAAAGCAAAGGAAATTAATAACTTGTTTGTTGTAGATAACTTTTTCAATGACCTGTTTGAAAACTGTTTAAATCTGACATGAGAGTGTGTGGGGTGGCTGTGACTGAGTGATTAGAGCAGATGTTCTTTAATGGGAGAGTTGGGGGTTCAAATCCACCAGCAGTCACATGCCAAAGTGTCCCTGGGCAAGACACTGAACCTCTCACTGCCTCCAATGTGTCCCATCAGTGTCTGAATGCAGGGCTTAATTTGTAAACCAATTGATGCCAGAACACAAACAGCAGGTGGTCCAGCAGAGGTGGGGTGCGGCAGGGGTGTGTGAGGGGTGCGAGGGGGAGGTGGGGTCCATGGGTCCTCCCCCAGAAAATTTGGAATAAAAGAGATGCCA